ATATATATATACATATGTTAATTATTTTAATTTTCAAATTTCATTAATAAAATTATTTCTATTAATAATACTAAAATCATAATTGTAAAATATTTATATTTATTATATAATTAAATATATGGAGTAATTTTTAGTAAAATAGAGATTTTAGTAAGATATACTTTTAGAATAGGGCAAAAAAAGACTAGATTAAATATACTAGTTTAAATTTAAAATAAGTGTTAAATATCTAGATTTAAGAAATTTGTAGCATCGAACGATCTTGCGCATTGGTAATGATATCAATACAAAGGATTTTGTAACTCGTCGAAATGGTCCCCATCATTTTAATTAAACGTATATCTTTTCGTGTCATTAGCTTTAATTTCATCTTTATTCTTTTTAACGTCATTGGAAACTAATCAGACTTGAAGTGTGTCAAGATATTTTCCACAAACTGTCGGAATTAACGCAACACGAAATGTTACATGAAAATTGCTTTTAGGGACAGTGATAGATGTGCAACATAAGGCACGCGCGTGGAACGTGCTTGGTCTCGGTGCGTGGATAATCAAGGAGCGCAGGAGCAATATCAAGATCAATTACGTAAAAGGAACAGAAAGAAGAGACTCGGAGATTTCTTTTTATTTCATATGTATAAATATATATACACACTGCCAGCGTATATCGTGAATGACCCACACTTTCACTTTCGTAATTAACGCAGGTGCCTCGTGTTCACTCGCCAACCGGCTGGAAACAATATGCGGATTTCCCTATGGAATCAGTCCCGTTCACGGACAAATAATTACCATTATCGCGTACTGTTTCGTCGAAGAACGACTAATCCAACAGCTTCTAAACTACAGTCATCTTCGTCGTGAGTTCTCCATTGCGGAGGGATGTCTGGCCGTGATATCCGGTCGCGCACGCGCACGCGCACACCGCGCGGCTTGTTCCGGTGTGCAGCTGTTGTAACCGCGGTTTCAAGTCCTCCTCCGAAGCCTGGCATAACATATAATAACGACTATGATACAAGTACGTTCTACAGACGATTTCACTTTTAGCCAAGAGGCTGCATCCTCGTCTCGCCGTCAGCGAGACAGAACCTGCCTGCCTCCTCCGAGCACGCGTTCGCGCCAGCCTTCCTTTCCTCTCTTTCTTTTGCCTCTGTTGTATTTCACACTCAAGCGGATTATGAGACGGCACGAACGATAATCATACTGCTGTACACGCTGGACCACCGTGTATCCTGCGTGTAATGTATTCTTAAAGATATTCGTATGCCTGTTGTGTACAGATATATATATACTAAACTACTATTACAATATACGCAGTCTCGAAGTGTAGCTGGCGTCGAGTTATACGCTCTCGGTCACGATATATAGGTTCACCGAGTTAAAACAGAAATTAGGAGCGAACCGTGTCCCCTTTCTCTTGCCAAGCCAAGCGTGGTATAAAATACTTTCCCTCTCGCGAGGCGAGTCAGCAGCGCGGCGAAAGAGCGAGCAGGAAGGAAAAGGCAGGGGCAGCCAGGCAGCTGTGGCTCGCAAACGGAAAACCGGAAAACGATCGCTTCTAATCAAGAGCCTCGAGCGTTTCCCTTCTAACTTTGTTCTTTGTCTCTCGCTTTGACGACCCGTCACCTCTTCTCCTCTTCTTCTCTCCTTTTTCCTCCTCTTGTATTTTACGAGTTTTCAATTCGGTGGAAGATACGTTCTCCCTAGTTGTGGATCGCGGGATGGTTAGAATGTTACGCTCGTCGAGACCTAAGCTTGGAGATTTGGTTTGGACAAGTCACGCGAAGTGTAGGCACGCTTCCGGCCGAGCGGTCTGTAATCTCGTTTCCTGCAATCGTTTCCTCTTGGAGATCAAGAGGTTGTCGGTATGGCTCGTCCTTGCGAAGAAGAATCTACTCGGAAATGTATCGTGGGAATGAAAAGTATTGTGGTTTAATGAATTTTAAATTTCTTTCTTGAAAGAATATGATATTTGGAAAAGATCTCTGATTATAGTAGAAAAAAAAAAAAAACAAAAACGAAAACATCATACTAAAATATCAAACGAAATCACATTGCAAAATTAGCGAAATTGTTTTTATTCGAAGTAACCGTTTTATTTGCGATTATATATACCTAAATTTCTGACAGTTTTCAACACATGAGTAGCACTAATTCCAATTTAGCATCTGAACTATCTTTATTAACACAAACTTCATTTCACGCGTCTCTAAACATTAAACTCAATCAAAGACGCAAATATCCTTCTTTTAATGTGGCAACTGAATCCTGACTTTCTGTATTCCATGATGTTCTACTCTAAACGGAAGACCAAGAAGAACACTTGTTGTTGAGTCCCTGTTCTCAGAACGGTTCGCCAATCGATTTGTCAATTTGCGTAATACCATGAATATTAATACCTGGCAAACATCATTCTTGGAAGCGCGAAACATCTTCGATCGTGAATCGTAAATCAAGCCGGAGTAACTCAAAGCGAGTATAAAAGTCCACTTAGGTGCTTTCGGGTACTTT